GAGAGGAGAGGAAAGAAGAGCAGAGAAGAGAGGAGCAGAGGTGAGAGGAGAGAAGAGAGCAGAGAGAGAGAGAGAGAGAGAGAGAAGAGCAGAGGAGAGAAGAGCAGAGGTGAGAGGAGAGGAAAGAAGAGCAGAGAGAGAGGAGAGAGAGCCAGAGAAGAGAGAGAGAGCAGAGGTGAGAGGAGAGGAAAGAAGAGCAGAGAAGAGAGGAGCAGAGGTGAGAGGAGAGGAAAGAAGAGCAGAGGAGAGAAGAGCAGAGGTGAGAGGAGAGGAAAGAAGAGCAGAGAAGAGAGGAGAGAAGACCAGAGAAGAGAGGAGCAGAGGTGAGAGGAGAGGAAAGAAGAGCAGAGGAGAGAGGAGCAGAGGTGAGAGGAGAGGAAAGAAGAGCAGAGGAGAGAGGAGGAGAAGAGAGAGGAGAGAAGAGCAGAGGTGAGAGGAGAGGAAAGAAGAGCAGAGGAGAGAGGAGCAGGGGTGAGAGGAGCAGAAGTTGAGGGTGAATGGGTCAGGTGTCGGTTCTGACCAAAATGAGCCTATAATGAGGAAATTTCAGGACTTTTAAATCAAAGTCAGACCAACGTTTTTGTTTTAGGATAAGTGCGTTCTAACATTTTTTATTATTATTATTAATTTTAAAGTCAAATTCAGGATTATGCAACGAGCTGCTTTCCCTGTATTGTGTTGGGACAATACAAACTCCTCACTAAGAGACTATTATTTTATCTGATGTCTGCCTGTCTCTTAAACCTTGAATCCTTGAATCCTTTGGGTTTTGGGACACTTTTTGGGGCTTAATCTGGCACATTTGATTGACAGCTGAAAAACGGAGAATCAAGGAGAAGGAAACAAGAGAAATGAAATGCACCCCTGCACTATCAGTGAAAATTTTGGACTCACTTTTTTTTCTTTACCTTTACCTCTGTCTGCGTTTTATATACACACATATTACATGGGGTAATACAGGAGGTGCTCCACTGTGTTTTTAAAGTCCATACACCTTCACTAGAATCATTTGGTCGACTTTCAGCCCTGGAGTTGCGGATCTCTACTGAACTAAAGGTGAAAAGGAGCTATGAAACTACCACTTCATGACATCACAAAGACAGAAGCATTTAGAGCTTTGGAGATGTAGACAGACCAAGTATAAAGAGTTACTCAAACATGTGTGAATGAAACAAAACACAACTCCAGGTGTGTTTTTGAGGAGGAAACAGCAATGTAGGATCATGTAGGAGCTTTAAAAATAAGATTACTGTTACACTGTACAATATATTCCTCAAGTAAGAGTAAAGTTGTGTGGAGGAAGGTTGAGGGTAGAGTTAGCAGCTTTGCTGCCGTAAACATCATCCCATTGTAGTCAAGAGTAAATACTAATTATTGCCAGATGTTGTTTTTGATGATGTATGGCTTTGTATAGAATGTTCCCCTGTATTCCATTAAATTTGTATCTATAGAAACACACATGTGATTATGTTATCAGGCCAAGTTACAAGTAAGTAAGTCTTTATTTATATAGCGCTTTTCACAGACATATTTTGTCACAAAGACACTTTACAGAGCATTATTCTGCATTATTCTTTCACTCTATACCTGGTGATGGTAAGCTACTATTGTTGCCACAGCTGCCCTGGGACAGACTGACAGAAGCACAGCTGCCATGCCAATCAGCACCATCAGTCCCTCTGACCACTCACACACACACCACGTTCATACTAGGCAATGTGGGTGAAGTGCCTTGCCGAAGGACACAACGACAGTTCTTGCCACTGTCGCCCCCCTGTAGCTCCTGATTTTCCCAGTGTCTCCCATCCAAGTACTAACCAGGCCCGGCCCTGCTTAGCTTCTGAGATCTGACAGGATCAGGCTTTGACAAACCGTGGCCACAAGTCATACTCATGGAGAGGTGATCATACTAACATAGTAGTATATCATAATATATCATATATATCATAATGCACATACTTACTCAAAGGTACTTCTTTAACAATAAAAGTGCCTACAATTAAATGCATGTTTAGGGTGACCAGACATCCCTACAGTTTTGAGCCCTGTGTCCCCTGTACAAGCAGATTTATCCAAAACCAGTGATTTGTCCCAGGTTTCCATATTTTTGACCAATTTGATCCCTGCCAACAGTAAAGAGAGGTATAAACTGACATCTTTTAGGTAAAATACAGAAAAGCTGCTTAAAAATGACCAAAACACAAAGAAAATGTGACTATACTGACTCATATGTTCATCATGAATAGACACATCAAGAATCTCGGACTTCCGGTCATGGGATGCGTCTATTGACAAATCTTTTCTAGTCTTTTGAACCATATCACTTTTGTTTCTGGTTCTGATTTGTCACTTGGAAATTTAAAAAGTCAACACCAAAGCGAAAGGCACCAACTGTTCACCAAGAAACACCTTCCACTGCAAAGAGACCAAGATGTGATGTTGCTGTAAAACCACAAGATCAAGAAAGTGCAGCTCAGTCTGTTTGTCTTCTGAACCTCTCGCTTAACAAACGGGATCCCGCTTTGTTGTCACTCCACATACAAAATGTTCACTGCAAACTCAGGATGATTTAGTCAGTCAAAGTCCTTTTTCGTCCTTCCCGTGGATCAATCCTGCCCATCACCTTCACCTTTCACTATTTTTCAATTCTGTTGGGAAGGGAAACAGTTTGAACAGAGGTTTGAGTCACACACATCTGATTCACTTTTGCATCTATGGAGTTCGCAAATAAATTTCTTGAGTCGTTTTCCGCTGTTAGGATCCGACAACCACACAATTATGATGTCCAAATCCCAAAACTAAAATATGACAATATCAGAACCAGAAACAAAAGTGATATGGTTCAAAAGACTTGAAAATATCAACTTTGTCAATAGACACATCACACTGGGAAAACAAACATGGAGGTTTGATGCTCACTTTTTCGGAAAATCCTTCCCAATATGCATTGCGCAATGATCGGAAGTCCGAGATTCTTTATGTGTCTATGGGCTGAGTGCAGAACAGTTTTTCTTAATTGTCGGTACGCACTAATTTCACAATTTTATTATTACAAACCAACCCAAACCAGGGATATCCCAGTTTTTGATTTTGAAATTTTGGTCACACATTCCATGCAAAGTGATATCATCTCCATGGGGACAAACAGGTGACAGGCAGACCTCATCAGAAAAATTACACAGAGTGCCTTTAAATTAAACAAGAAATTCCCATTGAAATATTTGGACTTTTTTTTCTGTAGCACTTCAAGGTTGTATGATTCTCTCCTTTTGACTTAAGCTGGGGGGATAACACCTGCTGCTGTAAATACAAAGGATAGTTTTACACCAATCAAGAAGCAAATTGTGAAGAAAAGCTGAAAAATAGGTAGAAAATGACAGGATTGGAGAGTTCTATTTTAGACAGTCCCACACTGATGACGTTCCAAAAGTTCAAAGCAATTTACACATTTTTTTTCTGATACTTTAAATATCATTTAAATAAAATGCAGGTGCTTTCTTATATTTTTGTTTGTCATATAATTATTTCTGTGTACATAGGAGGAGGAGTTTTGTCCGAGTGTACTGCATGGTTGCTGGGTAACAATTAAGAATGTGCCGATTCAGGTTTTTCAGTTCCAATTCTCTCAAAATACAGTTACTTTATTACAAAATTGATCTGATTGTGTAACTGTGTACTAAACAGCTTTGGAGAGTCTGTCAAATGCTTTTCTCCATGGAGATGTTATTGCTTTGTCTGGAATGTTTCACAGTATGGCATTAAACCTCTCTATCTTCATGGAGACTAAACCTGATCAAGTTACAGGTCAGATCTGTGGAGAGGCGACCCTGCTCAGTGCTCACAGTCACAATACCTGTTTTTCGAGGTATTTTTGAGCTATAAAACCACCTGTACTCAGTGTTGGGAATGTTACTTTTAAAATGTATTCCCCTACAGATTACAGATTACATATCCCAGAATGTAGTTTGTAACATAATCCATTAAATTACTTAAAGTGAGTAATGTAATCTGAATACTTTGGATTACTTGATTTTCTGTAAAGTAGCAAAGACTAGGAGATCTTCACATAAGATGTTTTGTCTGATAAAAGAAAATAAAAAGCCCAGACTTTACTGAACCAAATTAGACATGGTCCACACAGCATGATTTAGTCCTGTTAAATCCTGTTTTAGACCTGGTTTAGTTCTGTTTTAGACCTGGTTTAGTTCTGTTTTAGTCCTTTTTTAGTCCTGGTTCAGACCTGGTTTAGATCTAGTTTAGCTCTAGATTAGACCTGGTTTTAGTCCTGGTTTAGATCTAGTTTAGACCTGGTTTAGATCTAGTTTAGTCCTGGTTTATATCTAGTTTAGACCTAGGTTTAGTCCTGGTTTAGACCTGGTTTATATCTAGTTTAGACCTAGGTTTAGTCCTGGTTTAGATCTATTTTAGACCTGGTTTAGTTTCCAGCAATGAGTGGAATTACAGGGGGAAAAAAAAGGGGGGAAGAAAAGAGCCCGAAATGTGAAAACGGGAAAATACCGCCATGTAATCCATTTATTTCAACAAAGTAACTGTAATCCAATTACCACTCATTCAAACAGTAAATGTAACTGAATCAGTCATAATTTGTACTCGGATTACGTAATCCCGGTACATGTAATCCGTTACTCCCCAACACTGCCTGTAATTTAGTAAATGTAAGGCAGAGTTGTTTAATGTCACACTGTGGAACATTCCAGGCAGAGCAATGACATCTCCATAGAAACAAGCAGGTGACAGTGCACTTATAAAGTTCAAACATGAGACGTACTGGGCTTACAACAGTCAATAACGAGTCGAACCGATAACACAGAACCGATACCCGATAATGCCAATTTTCCTGGATCAGCCCCGATATTCAATACCAGTATCGATATCGGTGCCTCAGTTAGAGTCATGGATCTCCTTAGCAATATCACGATTTCCAACCAAGAAGTAGACATGTTTAGCAAAGTGTTAAAAAAAAAAAAGAGAGAAACACATTTAGGTAAATATCAACTTTAATTTAAAAATATCAAAACAAAAATGACACAGTTCAGACATCATGTATTTGTGTATTGCCCAATGACACATAAATGGACAGAAGACAGAAGAGGGATGTGTGGGGTGGAAGGCTGCACGATTTAAAAGCAAATTACTATCGCCATCTTGGAAAAAGCTCTATCTATAATGTGACAACAAATTCTAACTCAACATAGTGAAAACATATTTAGCTTGAATGATCTCCTTTTGGTCCTGGTTTAGTCTTTTAAGTTTTGAATATGACAAAGACTGACCAGTAAACAAAGCAAATTTAGAGTTTTACTAAAATAACTCAAAAATATGATCTCAAACTTCAACATCAGATATTCCATTTTGCGTTTTCGTGCAGCCCTAATGTGGATCTCCGTGGTCCGGGCGCTTCAGAAATCTACTGGTAATACAACTCCAGGTTCATCCCATCATGGATTTCATCTGAACAAAGTGGTGAAGGTCCAACTTTTTGTGAATTTAAAAAGTCTATATTCCACAAAATCGACTCTTGTGAGCTTTAAGCAGTGTTATAATCTTACTACCTCCTAAAAACAGACCCAGAGTTGTATTTTGTTTCATTCACACGTTTAACACACAAACTGACATATTTATTAGTTCTTCTCTATTCTCTTCCACTGTTCACTACTAAACTAGAATCATTTGAATAATTTTGAAATCCGTACTTAACAAAAGGAGAAAGGTATCTTACCATATTTTCTGCACTATATGGCGCACTTAAAAGCCTTTAATTTCATCCAAAAATGACACGCCTTATAATCCAGAGCTCCTTATATATGAATTTATAGAGGTGTCTTAGTATGACTTTAGTAAACTACAAAGCCGCTCCACTTGCAGCATTACGGCTCCCGTAGTCAGGAGCATCAGGAGTAATACATCCTGTGATTTCTTTAAATATCAAAATGCACCTGTCAACAGACACGCTTACAACACCCACTTTAAACTCAAGACTATTCTAAAGTGAAAGTGTGAGCTGTGTGGGAGCAGTGGATGAGAGAAGGAGAACACACATTCACCAAGACAGAGACAGCGCCGATCAGTATCAACTGTGGTCCGAGCTTTCACCAAGACCTGAATCATCACTGAACTGAACTCCAGGGAACAGTAACCACACTGACTCGGATAATGACGAGAGGGATGTGGACGTGCTGGACGCTGTAATCACCCAACTGTTTGAACTATTATGAGTTATTGTGAATACACTATGAATTTAGCGTCTCAGACAGTATTTTTTTACGCGTTACAATTGAACAAAGTTGAGATTTATTGTGAACGTGTTAAATAAAGTTTGACTGACTTATATAACTGTTGTGTTCCGTTTAATGTGCCTTATAGTCCGGTGTGGTTTATATGTGAAAAAAGTTTGAAAATAGACCATTCAATAACAGTGCGCCTTATAATCCAGAGCGACATATAGTGTGCAAAATATGGTAACTTGAAAACTACTTCTTAGTGACGTCACAAGGTGGAGAAAATCATAAACAGTGTTTTGAGCTTTGAAGATGTAGACATGCTAATAATAAGGATTACATAAAACAAAACACACCTCCTGGTATGATTTTGATGAGGTAACACATTTATAGCGTGAATTGAAGCTTATAAGAGTCAGTTTTGTGTAAAGACCCTCAACAAACCAGATTTTGCAGCTACAACTATCTAATATCAACACTTGCTGTGGTCGATAATATCAGTATAGACAGAAAATGTTTAATCTGTAGCAAGGCCCATAGATTTGTTGTAAAGTTCACCTTTTGACTTTACAATTTTGTAAAAATAGCAAAATGTATTTATTAGGGAGAGATAAGTACTAGGAGCATTAGTATTTTGGATCTGTTTGTAAGTTTAACTCAACAGTGAAGTTTATGAAAACAGTGAAAGGATACAGTCATCCAGAGACACGTGGTCCTTGAATATGGTGTACCTGCGGACACACAAATCACATACAGAAGATGAGCCGACACACATCAACATGACTTTATAAGCTTCCTCAAACGTACCATTTCTTTAACACTATTTTGTCATATCGTGTCCCTGTTTGAGCCGCTATGAGCTTCTTCAGGTCTCCAATGGTGTCGTCTGGGCTGAAACACAGGGTTAAGGAAGGAGGACCAAGAAGCTGACGTGTCAATGCCGCTATATTTTACTGTCAAGTCAGATCATTGACATTACTGTTAATGTGTCAGTGGGGCTGTTACGTGATGATGTTTTTAACTCTGACTTTAACTGCTTCTGTGTCCAATGGAGTTAGACTCATTCAATAATCTACATAAACATGTTTACAAACCAGAGTAAAAATCCTCTAGAATAGGGGTCTCTAACCTTTTTCCTCCGGTGAGCTATGTTTACAAAACAAAAATGAGAGCTACTAGTTTTAGGAATCACCAGAAATGAGGTATATTTAAGTGCCACGGTGAGCCTTAAATCAGGCGGTTAAATGCCTATAAAACATAAAACATATCCATTTATTAGTGTACAATTTTAGGTATCAAAATAATACATGTACAAGTAATAGACATTTAATTAATCAAATTGTACTTATTCAGGACAATACCTGTAATTCAGAAACCCCTTGGTAAGCTACTGGGAAGGGGTATGGAGAGATACTGGTAGCTCTGGAGCTGCAGGTTGGAGACGTCTGCTCTAGAAGTAGTAGTAGTATCAAAATTGCAATGTAACTTAATTATCCCAGTGCAAAGAGAGATTTTCTTGGCCGATTACAACCAGTAAAAAGTTACATCAATGTATACGTCCAACCAGAATATCAACAACATCGATATCAATATTTGGAAGCCAATATCAAATCCAGCAATTTCTTCAGTGTTGTTACTAATATCCTAAACCAGTTTTGGATCGTGCATCCCCACCATACATCCACTGCTATCATCTAGTATGACACAAGCTGTGATGATGTGAACATACGGTACGTTATTGTCCCCTAAACCTCTGCCTTTAAGGCCACTTGAGCAACCTGGCAGAGGCACTGCTCACCAGATCTTGAGCTAGTCTTGGTCAGAACTACATTAGCTCGTCGATTTAACCTACTGTGTTTTTTGGGCTGATGGGGGAAACTGGAGGACACAGAGGAAACAAGGAGAACATGCAAACGCCACATAGAAACACCTGCGTCACCAACGAGTTCAATCCAGAACCTTCTTGTGAGGTGCAGTGCTGGCCGCTCATGACCACTCAGTCTCACTTACCATACCCTAAAGTATGACCACGAACAGCACAATAGTATAAGACATGGACTGACTGAACACAAACTAGTTACTGTTAGGACAAATAACTAAGTTTACGTGGTGTATAACTACTGCTATGATGTTATTGATGTACTGCTATATTTTATTATTGTACTATTAGAATTCACTATACAATGACCCAGAAAACAGGGACTAGATTACACATAAAGGATGCAGAGATAGGTTCAGTTCATGAAAAAGATATTCTATTTCTATCTATATGTCTAATCAATTAATAAATAGGGCAAGGACTTATTGATAGGGATATGCTGACTCACGACTCATCACCCTGATCAGACCAGCAGGACGCTCCTGTAAGAGGAGTGAGATGAATCCAGGGGATCCTTGTCACAATCGGATAAGATTGTGCAACGTGCCAAGAGGCCTGTGCACCAACGAAGAGGCACTAAGTCTAAACCACGGTCGCCTCCCACTGTAGTTTGTGTATAAAAATCATTGTATAGGCAAAAATATTCAGTCTCTGCATGGGAATGTCAGCACAGACTCCTTGTACAAGTATGACTTTGGAATAAGTAAATTATCTGGACTTTATTTCTGTTTCAAGTGTAATTTTTTGTCTAAGCAGAAACTAACGAACACACGAGGAAAAGGGTTATTTTCCTCAACATTACTATTAACTGTAAAAATGTCTAAGAAGCAAAAGTAAGTATTGTGATGATTCTGTCCCGGTCTGAGTGGTACAAATCTGGTTTAGGGTAGAAACCATGACCCACGGCATCGTCAAAGGATACTTGCACTTGACCCGGACTTTCTTCCCCAGACGATCGTTACACACCACCTCAATCATCCCGTAATCTGTGAAGGAAAAAGTAAACATCAGCACACAGGCTAAGACACAAGCTAACTGCAATGCCTAAACAATCTTGGCCATTTAAAAGTGACTGAATATATGCCAGGTTACCAGTGTTGGGGAGTAACAGATTACATGTACCGGAGTTACGTAATCAGAGTACAAATTATGAGTAACTGTATTCAGTTACAGTTACTGTTTCAATGAGTGGTAATTGGATTACAGATACTTTGTTGTAATAAATGGATTACATGGCGGTATTTTCCTGTTTTTACATTTTGGGCTAAACCAGGACTAAACCAGGTCTAAACCAAGTCTAATAGCAGGACTAAACCAGGTCTAAAAGCAGGTCTAAACCAGGTCTAAACCAAGTCTAATAGCAGGTCTAAACCAGGTCTAAACCAGGACACCTAACAGTAGGTGAACATAATTTAAGGCAGCAGTGATCTCATTTAAAATCATTTCTCTATCAATAATATTTTTAATATGATTAAATAAAGACTCAGATAAAACAAAACATCTCATGTTCACATTTCCTCGTCTTTGCTTCTCTACAGTAAAACAAAAGTCTGTTCATGGAGACTTGGGCTCAACAGCCAATTTGAAGAGAACAAACAAGAATTTTCAGGATGTGGTTGGTACATTCATGTAGTTTAAAAAAAAAAAAACATGACAATATCAAGTAATCCAAAGTATTCAGATTACATTACTCACTTTAAGTATTTTAATGGATTACATTACAAACTATATTTTGGGTATGTAATCTGTAATCTGTAGGGGAATACATTTTAAAAGTCATCTTCCCAACACTGCAGGTTACCTACTAAATCAGGGACACGGGCAACGTATTGAATATGTAATGGCACAATTCATCTTTATTTCATATTTCGATCCAGATCATGGTTTATATTTTCGTATGTGGGTCGTTAGCTTTAGAGTAGCAAACATTAGCTAAGACAGCACCATCTCATTTACTGTGCTACGATTCACGTTGTTTAAAAGCCCACACACACTTGTTAAAATCTGAATTAAAGTTTTAATGTAATAGTTTTGTTTTTACCTGTAAGATAAGACCGAAAAATGGAAAAAGATTCGATATCGTGGCTGTTTTCTAGAACCTTTCTCCCCCCTGCTTATCGTAAAGCTGTTTTACCATGTGTTGTGCTGCTCGCCAATCATATTCAAGCATTTCAAAAAGACAGCTCCTTCCGCCAATGAGCGACTGGGAATACCAAAATGGGGGCGGGGCTCGGTCGGAAAACAACTCCTGCCGTAAACCGCGCTGTCATCACTGTCGCAACCCGAGGAGCTGCTGGTGAATCTGTAAACGCAGGATTCACTCAGAGCAAAAGCCAAAGTTTGGAGCGGGATTTGCGCGACAAGCCATGGCCGACGAGGAGAACCTACCGCAGGGCTGGGAGAAGAGGATGAGCCGCAGTTCGGGTAAAATCGCGTGAAGAAAGCGGGAAGATCCGGATTGGGTTGTGCAGTGTTAGCCTAGCCTAGCAGCAGTCGTGCATCGTGGTTTCCTTATGGACAGACGTGCGGTGCAGTGGGGGGGCGTCTGGGGGGCGGACGGGGCCACGGAGAGTCGGGGATAAGTGTGTGATCGTACGGGCTCCCGGGGGCCGTGCGGTGCTGTGCTGCTCGTGTTTTTGTGCAGGTTGTTGGCGCCATTCAATCTGCTGCAGGGCCCGATGACGTCAGCGACAGGAGGGCGTGCACGTGCCGCAGCGCCGCATCCATCTCCGTCAATTTATTTATTTATTTTATTTTATTTTTTTTCGGGGTTCCCACGGTCATGGAAATCCCGGAAAAGTTATTGAATTTGAAATTGAAAATGTCATTTTCCAGGCCTGGAAGAGTCATGGAATTTGAGTATCTCTTTCACGCCACTACAGCGTTCTGTTATGTTCTCATTAGACTATTCTGATTATTTCCAAACGTCTGCGCCTTTTTTTTTAAGAGACGACAAGAAATGCACTGACAGGATTTTGAATGTTAAAAACTATAATCACAAACCATAAAGTGAGTGGAAAGGGTTAACACTTCATATTTAGCCCTAAAAGTCTGATCAGTTCTAGACATGTAGGTGCTGTAAAGTCATGGAAAATCACTTTAGGTCATAGAAAAGTCATAGAAAAGTTTTGAAATTTTGTGAGAGGAAAAGAGTGGTAACCCTGTTTATTCAGCATGTTCAAATACACAGTCTGCAAGACGGGGGGCAATCAGGGCCATCAGAGACACAGACTGACAGTCCAGAGGTGGGACTTGCAAGTCGTGACTTGGACTTAAGTCAGACTTGAGTCACTATTTTTAGGACTTGAGATTTGACTTGATAAAATAGACTAAAAAGACTTGGGACAGGACTTGGACTTGAAAGTCAGTGGGACTTGGACTTGACTTGGACTTTAGGCCTGTGACTTGAGAAGACTTGATGCTGCTCCTAAAAAATATGTTTTTAGAAAATACTTTTTCTCTTTTCAGTTGATGCATACGGTGCTTAATTTTACAGGAACAAACTGGAACATGTCCCTCCCACTTCTCTATTTGTTACTTTGGATGTAACTGAAGTACTGTGATGTGGTATCCTCAAATGTACTCCAGTAATATACAGTACAATACAGTAATATACAGTACAATACAGTAATATATAGTACAATACAGTAATATATAGTAATATATAGTACAATACAGTAATATATAGTACAATACAGCAATACACAGAACAACACAGTAAACAGAGGGAACTAAATAGAACATGATCCTTCCATTTCAGACACATGACAAAATAACATGACAAAGTAACACTGTTAGTATAGAAATAATCCTGATTTAAAAGTAATGATTCACACCAAGATCTTGACAAGACATTTATAATAATGGAAACTGTACAATGAATGGAGGGTGCAATATTTGTGATGCCTCCCTGTCAACTTCACGGAATTCCCAAAGAGCTGTGCTTCCTCATTCAGACTCTGATCGTGCTTGCCAAATATCATATATGCAAAACAAAATGGACTTTTTCTCTCACAGATTTTCCAGTCATTTTAAAAAATATACCAGCACAAATGCAAACAGTCGCAGCACAAAATGGCACAAACGAAATGCAAAAGTTTCGTATCATGTTCTGCCTGTTTTGAGTTAGGGTGACCAGATTTTTTATTTTTTTTTTACAAGACAGACTTAACTAAACATGCATATAAAAAAAATAATAATAATAATAAAGTGTGTGGGGGGGTTGGGGTGGGTGTGTGTAGTACAGAGTTTCTCAGTGCAGTGTTTACATTTTTAAGGCTGTCGAATCAAATTTACATTTATATATTTTCTATTTCCTTCCCATATCTTTCATTCGTTTGTTTTTGGCAACCCCAAAATGCGTTACATTATTCAAGCATTTAAATACACATATATTTTAACATTGTCCAAGAGTATGATGTCCTTCTTTTACTGTGTTTTGTCCAAATGGGGTTTTGCCACAGTCCATAGGTCAACAGTCTGTTTGTTTTTTGTGTCCAACAACTAAGCAGCTGCTCCATAGAAATTAAATCCAAAAAGTCTTTGCACCAATTGTCTATCTCAAAGCACTTATGTTTGCGTTCCTTCCAATTCATCATAATAATACGTTTAGCTGATAAAAAACCCAGTGATAATATGTGGTCCAATTTTTGGGATGAAAAATCTCGAGTTCTTATTCCAAATAGGTACAACAACGGGCATAGAGAGATCTGCACATCAAACATACAAGACAGACGATCCGTTACAATGCTCCAATATTGTTTCACTTCAGGGCAATGCCACAACATGTGTATGAGTGTGTGTGTGTGTGTGTGTGTGTGTGTATGTGCTCTCTGCCCCACAACCGTGCCAACACAGTTTAGATCATTTGTTATCCATTTTGTTTAGTTTATGGTGTTATATAAGCTCGATGTAATAATTTGAGCTGCAGAATTTTATATCTCACACATTTAGAGATTTTGGTGGAGTTTTGCAATGCTGTTTCCCATTGTGAGGCAGTTATATGCATTCCCAAATCACGTACCAGGGTGACCAGATTTTTAAAATTTCAAAACTGGGACGCACCTGGATTGGGATGGTTTTGTATAAATAAAATTGTGAAAAGAGCGAGTAACGTTGTCCTTTCTCGACTCACCTGTGGATCAGTCATAATCTGAGGAAGTCTTTGCATTTTTTATTTTTTTTATTTTATGCCTTTTATGCCTCTCTTTACTGTTGTCAGGGATAAGATTGGTCAAAAATAGGGACACCTGGGATATTTCTTGTATAAAACTGGGACAAATCAGTAGTTTTGTATAAATCTGCTGGGACAGGGGACACTGGGCTCAAAACTGGGACTGTCCCAGGTAAATCTGGACATCTGGTCACCCTGCGAGAAATGGATGAACGTTCCCTTTGTATCACTTTGTACCACTAGAGGGCGTGCTCACTGCAGAAATAGAAACGTGGTCCTTCTTTTGTTTCCACTGGTCGAATAAAACGTTCACTGAAGTTTGTTTGTGCTTTTTAGGCAGAGTGTACTACTTCAACCACATCACCAATGCCAGCCAATGGGAGCGGCCTTCTGGAGACGGATCCGGCGACCCAGATAAGGTAACTATTAACTTATCAAAAGTAGTTATACATGAATACACTGCCAGTCAAAAGATTGGACATGACTCCTTATTTAATGTTTTTTTTTTTCTTTTTATGTGGTTTTCTTTATGTTTGTTTATCTTCTACATTATATACTTAAAAAAAATATATAGTCTACTGCATTTCACATGTGTGCATAGTGTTGATGCCCACAGTGAGAATCTACAAAATCATCATGGAAACACAATAACACATTTTAAGTATAATATAGAATTAATATAACCATAATAAAGTACTTATCAAATTATGATTCACAAAAAGGTAAACTGGAATTAAAATAACGCATAAAAATGTGTCTTGCAGTAAGTAAGTGGCATGGTAAATAGCATGAAATACTTTATAGATACTAGAGCTGTCCTAGATGTTCACATTTGAGCTCTAGTCCATCAAATAATTATCAGGCTCAGTTCTAGAAGAAAAAAAAACAGAGGTATTTTTACAAATGGTTGCTTTGACCTTTGTGAATCTGAATGAGAACATTGCACATTAATTTCCTGAAAAGAAAAAAAAAAAGATTTTAAAGTGACCCGTGCTGTTGTCCGTCAGGTGCGCTGCTCTCACCTCCTGGTCAAACACAACCAGTCCCGGCGGCCATCCTCCTGGAGAGAACAGACCATCACGCGGTCCAAAGACGAGGCCGTGGAGCTCATTCAGAGTACGACACACCGCAGTACACTCTCACTACTACATACTGTAGTACTACTGTGTCCACACTGCACTACTTTTGTCCTGCTGTCACTACCACATAGAGCGACTGCCTCAGATTGTTCAGACATGGAGGGACAGACTCTGGAAAATAAAGATAACTGCAATAACATGTGATTTTTATCAGTTGTAGTGGACAAAGAATTTAGAATAACAAAGGAGCTCAGTCATTTTTCTCTTAGAGCTGATCAGCTGCATGGTGACCTCAAGACCTACAATTTTATGTCATTTACAAAATCTTGCATTTTAAATGTGCTTTTTGCTTAAAACATAAACAAAAAATATATGGAAACTTTACTTCTGAAACCAAAGTGGACAAAAAGTCTTGATTTTTGTTGTGAAAAAAAAATATATAATCATATGTTATTGTACATTATCACTGATGTAAATCTCACTTTTTATAATTCATGTGGCATCAATGAAAAAGTGCAGCTTTCTCTAAACGGCTGTTGAGGACAACATAAAGAGACACATGGACACCCACTACACAGAGTACAACTACAACTACTAATGACAGTACTTTTGTCCCACATGCAGTACAGAGTACACACTGTCACTACTATATAATACTTTGCACACTGGAAAAAGTACTGCAGTTACTTAGGACAGAGTATACACTTACTACACCTATATTACTCTGTTGTAACTGCAGTACTTTGTCCTACATGCGGAGTACACACTGTCACTACTACACATGTACTGCTCTGCTCTAACTGCAGTACTTTTGTCATGTGCTCAGAATACATAGAACAGATCAAGTCCGGAGAGGAGACGTTCGAGACCCTGGCCTCTCAGTTCAGCGACTGCAGCTCAGCCCATAACAAAGGAGACCTGGGGCTGTTCGGCAGAGGTAGGGCATCTGGAGCAAACTTAAAGGGCTGGGATCATGTGAGATGCTGGGAAATTAATGTATATAACAGGTTTGACTTCTCATTTCCCCAAAATGTGTGTGAAGTGTTTTTTTCACCTTGGTTGGAATTTTGTGTTAATGACAGAGGAATTCCTTTTTACAGCTGAAATTTTCAATCTGTCACTCAACTGGGGTAAAACTGTGATAAAAATGTACTATAGATACTGTTCCACTAACATGAAAACAGGTCATATGCACTTCAAGCTGGAGGACAGCTCAGAATTCTGTAATCTGTCTGTGTAAGTGTCAGATTGCAGGTTTGATGAACTGGTTTATGGTTTATGTCTGTAATTACTGGGTCTAATTCATCTCAGCACAATTGTTAAAATATATTTTGTATGTAGTATTAAAAAGCAATGACAGGAGGACACAGGGTTAAAATGCCAAATGTATGGAGCCAATAGTGAATGCAAACTATTGTATAGACGCATCAAGAATCTCAGACGTCTGGTCATTGCGCAATTCATACTGTGAAGGATTTTCTGAAAAAGTGAGCATCAAACCTCCATGTTTGTTTTCCCAGTGGGATGTGTCTATTGACAAAGTCGATCTTTTCAAGTCTTTTGAACCATATCACTTTTGTTTGTGGTTCTGATATTGTCATATTTTAGTTTTGGGATTCAGACATCGTAATTGTGTGGTTGTTGGATCCTAACAGCGGAAAACGGCTCCAGAAATGTGTTTGTGAACTCCATAACTGCAAAAGGGAATCAGATGTGTGTGACTGCAAACCTCTGTTCAAACTTTTTCCCTTCCCAACAGAATTGAAAAATAGTGAAAGTCAAAGGCGATGGGCAGGACTAAAGGACTACAAAAAGGACTAAAAAGGAAACCTTTGACTGACTAAATCATCCTGAGTTTACAGTGAACATTTTGTATGTGGAGTGTCATCAAAGCAAAATCCCGATCCCTCACTCCACCTCAGTTACGAATTGAAAAAGTCAACACCAAAGCAAAAGGCACCAGCTGTTCACCAAGAAACACCTTCCACTGCAAAGAGACCAAGACGTGATGTTGCTGTAAAACCACAAGAACAAGAAAGTGCAGCTCAGTCTGTTTGTCTTCTGCTCCTCTCCATTAACAAACAGGATCCCGCTTTGATGTTGCTCCACATACAAAATGTTCACTGCAAACTCAGGATGATTTAGTCAGTCAAAGGTTTCCTTTTTCGTCCTTCCTGTGGCTCAGTCCTGCCCATCACCTTCACCTTTCACTATTTTTCATTTCTGTTGGGAAGAGAAACAGTTTGAACAGAGGTTTACAGTCACACACATCTAATTCACTTTTGCATTTATGGAGTTCGCAAACAAATTTCTTGAGCCGTTTTTCACTGTTAGAACATCTAACAACCACACAGTTACGATGTCCATTTGGTGTTTCAGAACTTTAAAGGAGAACACATGTCTTCAGGATTTTTAGGGATGTCCCAATAAAACATTAGATTTGAGTGTAATTTTGTTATTTACAACAGTGAAATCTTATTCCCATTTACATTGCCAGTGCTCTAGAACAGTTTCAGGAAATCAAACCTAAAATAAAGTGAATGTGTCATAATCTAGCAGTTAAATCAGCATCTTTCACATTGGTTTCTCTTTTGGAGTGTAGATAGAATAGACACAACTCCTTACAATATTTAAAATTATATTATAGCCAATCATCATCTTCATCAGTTTGTCCTCCCAAAAAAAATTAAAAACAAATTTGGGTGCCAATGCGAGAAAATTTCACATTTTACTACTTGAAATGTGATTGAAATTTGTTGTGATTTTATATTTTCTCAAACATTAACAAAACTGGCCACATTAACAAAACTGAAAAAAAAAAAAAAAATTGAAAACCTATTCTTATTTTATTTGTGACTCCATGATCCCGATGTAATAAAAGCGTTGTGTGTGCGCAGGTCAGATGCAGAAGCCTTTCGAAGACGCCTCATTCGCGCTCAAAGTGGGGGACATGAGCGGCCCCGTGTTCACCGACTCCGGGGTCCACATCATCCTGCGCACGGGGTAAAACCTTCGTCCCTCCTCTTCCTCCTCTTCCTCTTCCTCCAAACGCCCCCAAACACAGAGCCACAGCTGCTACTATCGCTACGGAAGCCACACTGCAAAACGACGACAAATCTGTAGCTGCCACGGACCTGCGGAGGCTGAGGCTGCACCCGAAGTCTTGCCCCCCAAAATTTAAGTGACACGAGATCAAAACGACGTAAAACTTGTAATATCGATCATTACTGGACTAGTGACATTCATTTACTGACTCCTAAATTAGACCTTTTATCATGATACTTCTGACTAATGTTCAAAATGTGTTATTTTAAAGATTCGCTATGGAACTTTCTCCTGCTTAAGATAATATTGCTTTTCCTGTAATGTTCCACAGTATGGCATTAAGCCTATCTTATCTTCATCTGCGTTTATTCAACTGCAGGTGTAAAAAGTGCATACCGTTTTTTCTGGACCATAAGTCGCTCTGGAGTATAAGTCGCTCCAGCCAAAAAAATTGTAATGAAGAAGAAAAAACATAAGTCTCACTGGACTATAAGACGCACTTTTTGGGGAAATGTATTTTATAAAATCAGAGACCAGGAACCGACATTTCATCTTGAAAGTCAAGTTCTAGTAATAATAATAGAGCAGAGAAGAACAGGCTGAACAGGTGTTAATATGTTAACGTCACATATGAACAGTTCTTCAGATAATTACAGCATAAACAACAGAACAAGTTTACCAAACTCTCCATCTCACTCAAAATCACAAAATCTATTGAATTCTTCATCGTCGGTGTCACTTCTGCACGACCTCCGGAGATAAACTATAGATCCATGAGGTAAACAGAGCGCCACTTCCTCTTCTGTGTCGCTGTCGTCAGACTCAGCATTAGTTCCAGTTAGAATTATTCGGGCCTTTCTGAATCCCGACAGGATGGTTTCAGTGTCACTGAAGTCCAGACTTTGTCGATTCATCGAGTGACTTCCGGTTCCCGTGAAGTTGTGTTCTCTATCCCCGCTTTCCATCAGTCCCTCACAAGGTTCTCACTCACTCCAAACTTTCTTTCTGCTGCTCAGTTACCGTTTTCAGCTGCAGATTTCACTATTTGCAGCAAGACAACAGTTTTTTCTACAGTAGGCATGTGCAGTAGAGTGTGAAGTGACAGTGTTACAGGAGTACCATATTTTCAGAACTATTAGACACACTCTTCAAGCCTCTAACCGCATCAAAAAACGACTGCGCACCCCGCAATCCAGAGAGCCCTGTACACGTCCCAGCACGACTTCAGTAAACTACAAAGCCGCACCACCCGCAGAACACACACACACTGAGCAGACAGCGACCGCACAGCGAAACACACCCACAGCCACAGGAACGAGGAACGAACCAAAAAAGCGAGTGCAATGTACCACTTCTAGACACAACTGAGTCACTGCGAACACACCAACAATCCAGCGATCCCAGACAGCACCTCCCTACACGCCACAACTGAACAAAGCCCAGAGTCACCGTGAACACCACAAACAAACAAAACCACTCACCCATCCAACTGTTGTGTTTCCTTTAAAGTCCAGTGCGGTTTATTTGTGAAAAAAAGTTTGAAAATAGACCATTCTATGACGCCTTATAATCCAGAGCGCCTAATAGCCCGGAAAATAGGTTAATAGTAATACTCAATATTGACATACAAGACTAGAGCCTGTCGCTGCCGTCAGTCTGAAAATTTTAATATAGAAGTCGCACCGGAGTATAAGTCGCAGGAAACATCACCTGTTTGGTCTCTATGCAGATATTTCTGTTTAATGCCATACTGTGGAAAAATGCATAGCGCACCTTTAAATGTGCTTATACTATTAGACCTAAATTACTCTTAAAAATACTTACTTACTTAAACTTTTTATCAAGTTAAGTGTGACCATTTTTATCACCTTCTGGATTCAAAATTAGGTATATGAGGTATATGCTCTGGTGGGAATTGAACCAGCAACCACCCCCAGTTTCCGGGTGACGCTTAACCCACTACTTCACAGCGGCCTGTTCACTCCACTAGCAGATAATCTCGTGTAAATTAAGGAATAAAAACAAATGACTTCAAACCAGTAACAAAAATGGATCAAATAAGTCTATAAAAATAAGTAAAAACGACGAAGTAAAAGGAGTATGAGTATATTCTAAGTTTCTCGCAGTGCGCCCTGAGCTTTTTTTTAGCATGCATGTCTCTTGAGGACCATAACTGACAACATTCATAAGGCTGCAAATGCTAAAAATGACAAGTTGTAATTGTACATCTCCTGTTATGTTGGCATATTAAGCGTCGGCCCTGTATGTACTTCCATTGAGCAACGCATGGGTCTCGAAACTGTATCCAACTAATGTCACTCACGCTCTTCCTTCAAATAAAGTTTTTTTTATATAAAACTTCTCTTTCTTTGTGTCTGAAAAATAACATGTCTGCATATTAGTATTTTAACTACATCATCGATTTCAAAAGTATAAAAAAACAGACACTAAGCGATACTGTGACTAGTATCGAAACTAGATATTTGAGGAGGTGTACAGCGTGGTATCGGAATCGGTATTGAGTATCGAGTCTATTCCCAAGTATTGAAATGGAGTTTGAAATTTTAGATCGGGATAACGCTGCTTCAGATCATTATAGGAAAAAGTTATTGTGTTGAATTGTGTATGAAGGGCTACAGACCAGTTAAAGATGAATTATGCAACACCTGCATGTGAATAAATGCAGGATAGATACATGTAATGCCATACAGTACTGTGGAACATTCTAGGCAAATAGAGCCATACTGCAACCTCAAAAATATATATGTTATTAGTATTTGTATGGTAATGAATGCACATCACATATTTTCTGGAATTTAAGACAAACAACAAAAACAGGTCAATGTCTGAGAGTAAACGTGGACCGAGCCACAACCAAACCAGGACCAAACCAGAACTAAACAGGTGTAGTCAGTGTGTGTCAGGAGACACATTTTAATTTAATGACAGGGTGTCATGTTTAGCAGCCAAAATACTTAAAAAATAAAAGAGAAACAGAACGCAACTTACAGTAAGAGGTGTGAGCTTTTACCTGAAATCACTCCCTCACACTAACACACCATTTCCTCTTTGCACTGGTATTTTATGTGTGTGGGAAAACCAGGTCAAGTAACTCAGCCCTGACCATAGACTGTACATAGAAATGGACACAGATAAACCACCAACCACCACGTTCTAAGTAGGCATGCTTATGACTCTAATTCAGTCAGTTCAGTTTGACAAAGAATTGTTCTTTTTAGCGCTGCACAATGTGAGCTGTGATATTTGTTCATTTGTTTTGTACTGGTCAAATAAAGAATATAAAATCAGCTTTTTTGGTCATTTCACTCTCCTAAAACAACACACTTCTGTAAAAATGAGAACTTTGTGTTGTTGTGATACATGTATTGTTGCTGTCTTGTGATACTGATTGATTTAGTGATATACTGTGCAGCTCTAGTTCCTTTAATACAGGGGTGTTCAAACGTTTTTCATCAAGGGCCACATATCAAAACACGGATGAAGCAGAGGGCCGATCGAGGGCCATAGAGGATCTCAATACTGTGAATAATTGAAACATGTGCATTTTTGGTTAGGTTAGAATGAGCCATCAGTCCTTTGTTCAAGATTCGATCTTCAAAAGTGCACACTAAATATTTCATGTTGGCTTTATCAAGGTAGACTTTTAAAACAAACTTGCAGTAAAAAGTACAGCCTTGTGTAATTTGGGCCAACTCAACCTGAGGATCAAGAAAAATTGGTTTGAGGGTCACATTTGGCCACCAGGCCAGGAAAAACAGATATTGCGTGTTTGGACTCACTCATAGTGATTTGAAAAGCTAAAGTAATATACACACATTTGTACTTCCCAAAATGCAGCTGGACACTGGCTACAGACCAGTTAAAGATGCAGGCCCTATGCAGGTGATGCCACCTGCTCGTCTCCATGGAGATTATACTTCTTTACCTGGAAATGTTGCACAGTATGGCATTAAATTTATCTTCATGGAAACAACCAGATAACACCACCAGGAAGAATGCTTTGTTTTTTAAGATAATTTTGAACCATAAAACACCTGTAAGTGAATAAATGCAGGATAGATACATGTAATGCCATACTGTGAAATTTATTATTATTATCATTTGTACGGCAATGAATGCACATCACATATTTTCTGGAAAGACACAACAAAAAACAGGGTCAACATCTGAGACTAAACCTGGACTGGAACAGGACCAAACCAGGACAGGTTTGGCCAGTGTTATCAATGTGTGGCAGGTGACAGTTTAATGACAGGGTTGGCTGTTTAGAGGCACATGTTTGTTGTCACTTCACAAACATGCTTAAAAAAGAAAAGAGAAACAGCACACAACTTACAGTAAGAGGTGTGAGCTTTTACCTGAAAGCACTCTCACACTAACACACCTTTTCCTCTTTGCACTGGGATTTTATGTGTGGAAAACCAGGTCAAGTAACTCAGCCCTGACCATAGACTGTACATATTAATGGACACAGATAAACCACCAACCACCACGTTTTAAACAGGAAATGCCCATGGGCGTGCTTCTGGCTCCATCGACCCTGGCTCCAATCTTGAGAATTAAAGAAATATGTGCCACATTTAATATAGGAAATACAAGACTCTTGCAATTTCATTAGATGCTGAGAAAAAAAAATGTATTTGGTTTGGGTCTTGAGTTTGTTGGGTGGACAAAATTGTTGTACAGTTCTCCCACCGCAAGGGTTTTGGTGAATGGTTTGAACTCTGATATTTTTCCCTTGGGTAGGGGAACCCGTCAGGGCTGTCCCCTCTCTCGTCTATTTGCACTAACTCTGGAGGCACTAGCAGAGGCTATGAGAACTCACCCTGGAGGATCTGGAATTAAATTGGGGAACACTGAATACAAAATTTCACTTTATGCTGATGTTATTATGTGGGGGGGAGGGCATTAGATTATCAGCAAATAATTATACAAATTAAACTTTAAAACAGTTTTAAATAGGTGGTTTGACCTCCTTCTGTCATTACTAGGCAGGATAAATTTGATCAAAATGATTATCCTTCCCAGGATACCAGTGGTGGAGTGTGCATTTCACACCTAGGCCTTCAGCAGTGCTCCGTCTGAAACAATCCACTCCTCAACTATTTTATGGTTATAAAAGCACTCTTATTATACAGAAAAAAAAATTCTTTCTGTAATACATAGTAATAATAATTTCAATTCGCACAGCCTGCATAAATGGTAGCTCGCTACAGATGCAGTTTGCTGCTTTGGCTGGTGTGTTCTCGGACTCTCCAATCAACAGGTCTGAATACAGTGATGACGCCTGCTAGAAAGCCCTGGTGACACCAACTCAAAATCTGATTGAAACTGTTGCTTCAACCATCAAAATTTATTTTGTGTTGGAAGGCCTGCAGAACAGATTGTGAAGGCCTCAGACTTCTTTGACTTTGACTCTGCCTGGCAAAAAATGATGGCTGAAATGTGATTGGTCAAATGCTTTAATATGAAAATGCATGTCGAGGCAGCACAACCATCGAAAAAGCTCTGAAAGGAAGCAGACAGACCATTTGGAATTATTTAATAATAATATGATTAAAATCAGTCTGTGATTCAGATATTTTTAGGCCAGCAGAGAAGGCCTTGCAGGCCCTGACGGCCCACCACTGCAGGATACTATATCCTATGCAAATGTTACCTCTTAAAATTAAACAAAACAACATTTTCTGAGATAGAAACATTTTTTGCCCAAATGTATATGGTATAGGGAGAAATCTGTTCTTAAGATGAATATTTCAATCAGCCTTCCAGCTGACGAGGGCAGTCAGATTTTACACAACTTCAAATATTACTATTGGGCCTGTCATGTCCGAATAGTATCGTGTGGGTTACATGTATTTTTACACCAAGCTGAGCTTCATGTGGACAGCTGGAGCTGTGAGCCTCCTTCACTGCTGAGTCTTTTGTCCTCACATCTGACAAAACTACCAGTGGGGGTTAAAACCAAAAACATTCTGTTCATAAAGTTAAGACTTGGGCGTCATATTAAGAGTTATCTTGGGTGGAGAAACTTTTCAAGTGTGATACAGAAACATTTCTACAAAACTTTTAAAAGGATGCAATACCAAAAAAGAAATGTATTAATTTTTCCTACACACAATTAATGGAATCAAAACCTTCCACTGGGAATTCCAGGACTCATTGGAAAGTGGATATGGGAATTGAACTTAGTGCTGAGACTTGGTTATGTGCCTTTAGGTCTGCCAGGATTTTTTTTAAACTTGTAATACGCTCAGGGAAAACCAATATCAAATTTTACACATCAAATTTTACACAGGCTTCAATGTACTCCTCAATTTTTGCATAAGATTCACCCTCAGTACTTACTTACTTACAAAAATACCTTTTGTATAAAATGTAAAAACATTGTGGGCACTTCTTATCACTGTATCTGGCAGTGTCCATTGATACGCCGGTTTTGGAGGAATATTACTACGAAACTCCGCTCCATTTTTCACTGAGCTGTCCCTATGGAGCCTGTTTTATTTATTTCTAGCTTGTCTGAGAGGCTGCCTGTGTTATCAGGGCAGATGATGTTACTACATAAACTTTTACACCTGGCGAGTAGATGCACCACAGGATCTCATCTCTGCTGTTTGCAGATGATGTTGTCCTGTTGGCTTCATTGAACCAGGACCTTCAACATGCGCTGGGACGGTTTGCAGCCGAGTGTGAAGCGGCTGGGATGAAGATCAGTTCCTCCAAATCTGAGGCCATGGTTCTCGACAGGAAAAAGGTGGCTTGCCCTCTCCGGGTGGGTGGAGAGTCCCTGCCTCAAGTGGAGGAGTTCAAGTATCTCAGGGTCTTGTTCACGAGTGAGGGGAGGACGGAACATGAGATTGACAGGCGGATCGGTGCACCATCTGCAGTGATGCGGTCGCTGTATCGGACCGTTGTGGTGAAGCGGGAGCTGAGTCAAAAGGCGAAGCTCTCGATTTACTGGTCAATCTACGTTCCTACTCTCACCTATGGTCATGAGCTCTGGGTAGTGACCGAAAGGACGAGATCGCAGATACAAGCGGTCGAAATGAGTTTCCTCCACAGGGTGGCTGGGCGCTCCCTTAGAGATAGGGTGAGGAGCTCAGTCACACGGGAGGAGCTCGGAGTAGAGCCGCTGCTCCTCCACGTCGAGAGGAGCCAGTTGAGATGGCTCGGGCATCTGTTTCGGATGTCTCCTGGGCGCCTCCTCGGGAGGTGTTCCGGGCATGTCCTGCCGGGAGGAGGCCCCGGGGAAGACCCAGGACACGCTGGAGGGACTATGTCTCTCGGCTGGCCTGGGAACGTCTTAGAGTCCCCCTGGAAGAGCTGGTGGAAGTGTGTGTGGAGAGGGAAGTCTGGGAGGCCCTTCTCAGACTGCTGCCCCCACGACCCGACCCCGGATAAGCGGAAGAAAATGGAATGGAATGGAGTAGATGCACCTTGCTTCAGTGGATACACGCACAACCTCCATCTGTTACACAGTGGTACAGAGAGACTTTTAAAGTTTAAAAGGCAATTCAAACACTTTCTATAAAATATGGCAACCCTTTTTGGACCATCTACCTCAAGACTTCTCTGATGTGCTTAAGAAAGGAGTCAATAATTATGCAATGTGTATTTATTTATATAACTGTGGCTCAGGCCATAGTTTGGACATGAAATGAGAAATAAATATGACATACAATCATTTTTTATTGTTTCAGACCATTTCCCAGTGGTCAGGCCGGTCTGGTCACAATGAGATTCACAGGATAATAATTTATTCTAAGTATGTTGTTGCTCCAGTTTGAAATGTAATTTAATTACCTCCTCATCATCAATGCAGGGAAGACCAAGGAGATGGTGGTGGACTTCCGCAGATTCACTCTACTACCTTCAGTGAATCCAGGGAAGGGACATTGAGAGAGTGGACTCATATAAGTACCTGGGTGTTCATCTGAACAATAAACTGGACTGGATTCACAACACAGATGCACTGTACAGGAAGGGCCAGAGCAGGCTCTATCTCCTGAGGAGACTCAGGTCTTTTGGAGTGGGGGGGCCACTCCTGAAGACCTTTTATGACTCTGTGGTGGCATCAGCCATCCTGTACGGTGTGGTCTGCTGGAGCAGCAGCATCACAGAGAGGGAGAGGAAGAAGCTGGACAAGGTCATCAAGAAGTCCAGCTCTGTCCTGGGCTGTCCTCTGGACTCAGTGCAGGAGGTGGGGGACAGGAGGGTCCTGACTAAGGTCTCTCTATGCTGGGCCATGAGTCTGACCCCCTGCAGGACGCTCTGTCTGCTCTGG